CAGACTAGTGATTCAGATACACATTTATATATATACACACGTATATTTTTCATTACAAATTATCACAAGATATTTAAACATAGTTCCCTGTGCTATACAGTAGGTCCTTTTGTTTATCTATTTTATATATAGTAGTTTGTATCTGCAAGGCCCAAACTCCTAATTGATCCCTCCCTGTACACCTTCCCATTTGGTAACCATACATTTGTTTTCTGTGTCTGTGAGTCTGTTTTGTAAATAAGTTTATTGTGTCATTTTTTTTTTTTAGATTCCACATGTAAGTGATATTATATTTGTCTTTCTCTTTCTGACTTACTTCACTTAGTCCTATATTCTTAGGAATATAAACTGAGACTCAGGCATTTTGCCTTTCTCAGAGTGACAAAAGTAGGCAGGGGAAGACCTAAGATTAGAGCTCATATCTTTCACACGTAGCCCAGTTATTCTTTCTTCTGTATTTTATAATATAAGGGTTTCTGTGGATATTTTCCAAAAGTTAGCATTTGCTACTATCACTTCTTATCTGTAAAATGGGATAATAACGTACTAAACTCAAATCATGGTAGGCTTTTAAAGAATGAATTAGGGTTAATTGAGATAGTGCATTTGAGAAAAAAAAGTTATACTGCAAAAACGCTCTCTGTTACATGGTGGTTATTGTTGTTGCTTTTTTTGGGGGGGTGTAATGGAGTTTATTTGTTTATGCTTAGGAGAGGTACTGGGGATTGAACCCAGGACCTCGTGCATGCGCTCTGCCATTTGAGCCGTACCTTCCCCCTCGTGGTGGTTATTATTGCAAGCTTGGCTAGGTCTCTGAATGCTAGCTGGCAGCTGTGTGTACTTGCTGATTCCTATTCATGGGAATTGTGTTTGTTTATATCGTAGTATAGTATCTATTTTTCCTTTTAGTGCCCATGTGGCCAATTTGTGAACTGCCATATTAATAAGACTCAAACATATTTGAGAGGGTGGTTAGACTTAATGGTTTCCATAAAGTTGTTTTAGTAGTTATTTTTCGACAGATGGACAGCTTACATTTTGGCCTCATTTCTGTGACAGTATGATGATTGAAGTTTTCAACAGATGGCATACGAATAACTTGGGAAAACACCCTCCCTATATTAATTGTTGTAAAAAAGACTTTTAGCATGCCAGGAAAATGATAATCTGTATTCCCAAGCCCTTAGCCTATGCTATTATAATTATAATTTAGATGATTTGGAAGTTTCCTTTTCTGGCACTGGGATTTATTTTGTAAATGAGTGAACGTATCTACATTAGAGTGAGAGATGCTGGGAAACACTCTGTTGCCAGTTAGATATTCAACATGGACATAGCACGACATCTCCTTTTGATTATCAATGAATGGACACAACTTCCTCTTGCTAAGTCATTCTACTTTGATGCTATGCATAGAAAATGTAATGTTCCATCAGGGACTTATGTGTTCTTTCTAAAAAGGATTGATTTAAAAGGGAAAAATTTCACCAAACTGAGAATTTTCAGACAAATTCATCAATATGGTGAACTCCCCAACCTTCCAAGTTGTTCATCCCGCATCTGCATCAACCAGCTTGCACTGTTTCAGGAATCAGAAATGAGATCAGACATTAAGCGGGGCAGTTGGGGAGAGATGGAGATCTGTGGGGTGTTTGTGATGTCACAATGACAAAGGGCATTTGCTGGTGTTTAGTAGGCGTGTCACCCAACCTGGATTTGGGTGTGCAGCAAAGCCATCTACTGACACCGGGTTGTGGTGAAGGAAAATAAAGTATTTATTGCAGGGCACCAAGCAAGGAGAGTGGGCAGCTTATTCTCAAAAGGCCCAGCATCCTCCATGGCTTTCAGAGAAGGATTTTTAAAGGCAATGTGAGGGAGGGGACCACAGGGTATGTGATCAGCCTGTGCTCAATTCTCAGATTGGTTGGCATCAAAGTGAAACCTTGAACATCATTAATTTGGTTTTGGTCGGTCTGGGGTCTCCGTGCTCCAGGTCAGCAGTTTCTACCTGATGGGGGTCTTCTTCCTGTGAAAACAACTTAGCAATGCGTGCCAGACATTTGTATCTTTCAGGGAACTAGGAGTTAGGTGACTCTGCCAGGTGTCTGATTTATAGTCTAAATTGTTACCTATTTCCCAACAGCTATCCTTTGTTTCCACCTCTTCATATTTCCTAATCGTTAACTCTTGGCTCAGCCTTTTGAGACTCAGGGGAGGGCTGGGAGACTAAAGCAAAAGCCTTTTACTACAAAGGACAGGGACACGGACTTGTATACGGTTTCAGGGGGAGGTCAGGGTGCCTGTACCTGCACAGCACAGTTTGGCACAAGGAAGAAAGGTCCTGTGTCCTACAGTATGCTTGGATAATTGGCTGGCCTCTCATCTGAGCCTGGAACTTATGTGTGCTTAAATTAAAAAACAGAGTAAGTTTTGCAATACAAAGTTTTTTTTTTTTTGCACAGAATATTAGTGTCTATTCATACCTCTGCTCTTTGATTTTACTATGCTGCTATATGAAAGGCTGAAAAACTTCTGATCTACTTCTGAATCCTGACCTTTTCATGCAGAGTGCTTTATTATATTTTTTGTGTAGTCATAAACTGAGCATTTACATAGTAAAACAAGTATTTTTTATAAATTGGCTTCCTCTTTCTATTCCAAATAGGACATCATGTTAACATTTGAAATTTAGTGTATAGGTAAATTATATTATCCATGAACTTCTGGATTTAAAGAAAGAATTATAAATGCTTATTATAATAAAATCACCCTGGGGTTAATCAGTATGAGAATCATTGCTGTAGAAAATTAAGCAACAGACAAATTCTTTACTTGTCCACACGTGCACACACAATTCAGTGTTGGAATCATTCAAAGAAAAGGACGGTGGTGTGAATCTAAGTCTTAATAAGGAACGCAATCCCAGTAAATTCTCTATTCTTATGTTTGTATGGAAATCTTAACTGATTTTCTCTTGACAAGTCATATCAGCTAGATCTTCTTTGTATCTGTCATTGCAGATGGCGTTTAATGATTGCTTTAGTTTGAGCTATCCTGGCAACCCTCAGCCAGGGGACTTGATTGAAGTGTTCCGTCCTGGCTATCAGCACTGGGCGCTGTACTTGGGTGATGGGTATGTTATCAACATAGCACCTCTAGGTAAGGTTTGTTTCCAGAAGCCCATGGGAGCTTTTTCTTTTCTTGTTATAAGAAGGCATCATGAAAAGTAAAACAAACTAGAAATAAAATGTAGAAAGTCTGTAAATCCAGCTGATCTAGGGTTATGGAAGGACATTCTAAGACGAAAGTGGCATTGAACAAATCCCAAAAGCCAATTACAATTGACATTTTAAACCCTTTGTATTTAAAAAAAAACACAATTAAAAAGTAAATAATCAGCTGGAGGAAATATTTGCCACAAACATGACAAGAGTCAGTGTCTTTCTACATCATACAAGTAGATTATTTCAATTTATTCAACATCTGTTTTTGAATTTCCCAGTATGTGCCGAATGCTGTTCTAGATGCGGGGGATACGTAAGTCTCCCTGCACAGAGGGGCTTACATTCTAGTGGAAGGAGAGAGAGAGAGACCATAAACCAAATACAGAAAGCAACGTTAGATTAGAGATAAGTGATGTGGAGAAAATAAATCATAGGAGCAGGATAGGACGTGCTGGGCAGTTGTGGAGTGCTGTAGTAGTTTTAAATGAGCTGGGCAGGAAAATCTCATGGGAAAATAACATTTGAGAAACAGCTCGAAAGAGGCAAGGAAACCCAGGACCTGCTGTTTGAGGAAAGAATTTCTTATGCTGAGGGGACAGCAAACACCAGAATCCCAACAAACAAATGGGTTAAAAATTGTGAACAGTCTTTAAAACATGAATAGCAAACACCCAAACCCATTTTAAAAGGTTTCGACTTTTTAGTCATGTAAGAATTATAAAATAAAATGACAGGTTTTATGCCTCTCATGTTAGCAAAGTTTAACAATTTGGTTAACAATCAGTGTTGATAAAGGTACAATGAAGTGAACACAATGATATTGTTGATAGAACTATAACTTGACAAAATCGTTCACAAAAATGATTTAATAATATGTATTGAGTCTTAAAGAAATTCATATGCTCTGACCTTGTACTTTTATTTCTACTAATCTATTCTTGGGAAATATTTTTAGAGATATTTCTTTAACATTTGCGTATGGGAGTGTTCCCTTCTATCTCATTTATAATGGTTACAAAAATAGACAATGGATTAATGTTCAGTGAGGAAATGGTGAGATGAATTATGATTTAGCCACAGAATATTAGGTATCTGTGTCTGGCAGAATATTTTAGTTGCAAGTAACATACATCAAATTCAAATTAGCTTAAACAAAGAGGCAGATTCATTGCCTCACCGAAGGAAACTACAGAAAGGGTAGAGATGCCTGGATCCAGGAGTTTGAACACTGTCAACAGCTCTTCACCCTACGTCTGCATTTTTTTCTATATCTTGTCTTCATTATTCCAGGCTATGTCGCTCTAAGAAGCCGAATTGTTGACCATAAGCATCCTTCAGCTCTCATACTTATAGTCTCAACAGGAGAGAGCCAATTCTTGCCTGTTGCAGTTAGAAAAATCATGGAGAATGACTCTAATTGTCCAGTGTGGGTCCCGTGTCCCTCACTGAACCATCACTGTGCCCACGAGAATGGGATAGTCTGAGTGGCCTAGACAAAGTCTTTTCCAGAAAGAAAGAAGTGGTATTAAGATAGGTGCTAGGTAGACAAAAACAGTAGCCCCTTTAAGAGCTGAAAATCATTTCTAGACATTTTTAATTGCATGCAAGATGGTCTTGTATGATAGTTATTTGAAAATTCCAGACTAAAAAGGCAATATGTAATATGATACCGGGTTTGCAAAGAAATCATATGTATCTACAGCTACATGTGAATACACACACACGCACACATACGTGTGATACTAAAAGACAGTAGAAGTACATCAAAATAATAATCGTAGTTATTTCTGGATGGCAGGATAATGGGTGATTCATATTTACGTGTTTATGCTGTATTTTTCTGTATTTTCTAGATGTTTAGAAATGAGCACAAATTAAGAAAAACGCTGTATGCAAATAACAAATAGACTAGAGCATATTTTTCCTTGAGATGCTTTTTAAAAATGTGTTTATAAGCCTAAATCTTACTATCTTGAGAGCTGAGAATTTTTAATGAAATGATTTTTGCAATGTCTTGAGATATCTGCCTCTTATTCTAGAATTCTGGAAATGGAAATGGT